GAGAGGAGAGGAGAGGAGAGGAGAGGAGAGGAGAGGAGAGGAGAGGAGAGGAGAGGAGAGGAGAGGAGAAATACATTACATTTCATCGTGATAATAATGCAATCTGTGTGGGATACAGTGTTTGAGACTTCCAGACTTCTTAGAAATTCCAAACATTTTTCAAGTTGTTTCTTTCCTAGGTGACACTTAAAAGTTAATACACTTTTTAAAAAAGGATTTGAGGAGGATTTTTACAAGATGCTCAGGAAGTGTGGGAGTGCTGTGTGATGTGAAGAGAAGGGTGAGATGCTGCTTAAAGAAGTTTTCAGTGAGACTGGTTCACACAGTGGACCTGTACTGGCTTTTACTCTGCTGTATGGCAGATGTCATCATGGGTGCATGCAGAGGTTAGAAAAATAGTGACATTTGCCAAACACAAAAGAATGATGCCTTTAGGAGGAGAAATATTCAATTTCCTTAGACATTTTCTCATGACCTCTGACAAAGACTGGGCCAAATTTGTTCCTTATTTAACTGCATTGTTCCTTTAATTGATTCAAACAGGGTTACAATCAAGAATCCATGTGGTGCCTCATAACTGGTTGTAATGAGGTACATTAGTAAATGTACCTCAGGGAATTAGGATCTTGTTATTCTGCTTGCCTGAAATAATGCTTTCAGTGTTACTAGGCTGGTAAATATTATCTTCAGTTAGTATCCAGTTCGGGGTGACAGAAAATGGTGAGTAATAAAGATAAACTTTGCTGGCTACAGTGCCAAACACTAGTTCAAAAGAACGCTTAAGAATGTGCTTAAATGCATTGCTGAATTAGGGTGGGTCTAATTATGTAATTAGAATTAGCACACTCTTTTGTGCTTTCCTGGAGCTGAGCCTTGCCCAGGAACATTTTGCTGAATCTAAAAAAAGTGAGTATCATTTGAAATCTTGTAATAATGCTGGTAAAACTAAGAGATGCCAGTAGATCCTGACATTAACCCTTAAAGCATGTGGTGATTTTAGAAGTCAAACAGTTGACCTAGAACATGCGCATATTTTTAGAAACCCTTAAATATTTGAGCTGGAAAACACTGTGCCATAAAAGATGTAAAGAGGCAGAATTTCCAAATAAACAGAGTCTTTCTGTATTATCACTTCTACTTGGAATCTGTAATAAAATAAAAAAAATATTAAAATAATAAATAATAAATAAATAATAAAAATTCATGTGCACACCAAACGTGTGATATTCATCTCCTATTGCATAGGAGATGAAAAGGAGTACAGCTTCTGTTTGCATACAGGGTAGTGCTGCAGTAACAGCTACCCTGGAGTGAGCTGCAGCATGAACAGAGCAGAGGGCAGTGCAGGGCAGTCACCAGCTCCAGGGCTGCAGACAGCTCAGGCTCTACTCTGAGGCTGAGGTTTGGTACGTCTGATGAGCAGCTCTGCTCAAACCACTGCTGCGCAGCTTCTCTTTCTAAATCTCGCTGCTTTAAAGCCAAGCCAGGTACCTCTGCTGCCTCCTACCATAATCTGGCAGCTCCCTGAGTGCAGCTGAAATATGTTCCCTGAACAAGCTTTGAGGAAGGCCCTGAGATACTTATCTGACCTGTTGCATTGTTCTTACACACTAATGCTGCAAGCATTGCTGATAGGGTGTGATCTAGAGAGGAAAAATGAGCACCGTGCTAAGTTTGGGTTTGTTCTTTCCTCAGCTATCCGGTACGACGGAGTTAACGTGTTTGGCTACACAGTCTGGTCCCTCCTGGATGGCTTTGAGTGGCATAGAGGGTACAGCATTCGACGTGGACTGTTTTATGTTGATTTTCAAAGCCATGACAAGAAGTTGATGCCCAAATCTTCTGTCTTGTTCTATCAAAAGCTGATAGAAAAAAATGGCTTCCCACCTTTGCCTGAAAACCAGCCCATAGAAGGTATTTTTCCCTGTGGCTTTGCTTGGGGAATTGTTGACAACTACATTCAGGTGAGTCTGATAATAAAGCCGACAGGCTGTCCAGCCAGATCAGTGCACAAGTTCACAGTGACATATTTGCTGAATAGAGTGTCTTTGCCACAGTGCTGCAAGGAGATGGGTACAAAGCTTTTGTGCCAAACACTGTGTCTGTCATTCTTCACCAGACTTGCTGTGTGTGACCAAGGCAAACCAGCCAGATTGAGACACTATAAATAACATTTTAGAAAAATATATTGAAATGGGAAGGAGTCTGATGCTTGTCTTCCCTGAACATATGTGATCAGTTATGGGAAGTCAGCTCTTTTCAAAGGGAAGTCAATTAAATCTGCTAAACTGTAAAATACATGTTTTAGAAAACTTCCTGACATGCCACTTCCAGTGGCATGTTTCTTTATCTTATGCAAGTACATCCTGGTGCTGTTCTTAGAGAGATTTTATATAAAATGAAGTAAACAGTATTAGATTTAAATGAAATTTCTGTATTCCTTCTATTTCATTTTATGTCATCATAGAACCTAGCTAGTTCACGGTCCTCAGTCTTTATTTCAACTGATTTGATACTTTGGGAGAATTTTTCAAATTATAATACTTCATAACATGAATAAAAATTGTACCTTAGTTATGATCTCTTTAACTCTTGGGCTTTGTAATTCTTGGATGCTATTTTGGGTTGCAGAGCTTCTCTAACCACAGTAAAGAGGTGTAAATTCAAAGCCAAGACTTAATCCAAAACAGAATTTTTAATTTATATTTTACACAAAGGCACAAGCTTTCTTAAGGCTTGAATGTGAGGAGCTTGTTTGTTTCTTCTCACTCCAAAATTATGATTTGACTTTGTTCTTTTGAGAAATACTGCAGCCTTCCTACCTCGTGCACTGATTTCCATGAAAATTCAAGTCATCCTTCTAGCTCTCAGATAGATTAAGAATTGGAAATGGAATTGCTGCTTTTGGAGTCAGTAACAACTATAAAGTTGCGGAGACAGTCAGCCTACAACAACTAAAAAAATCCCTCCCATCTCCAAAACCTTCAAAGCCGAATATTTTAGTTTCAAAAGGCCATTCAAACATTTTGTGCTGTAAGGCTTAGGTTGTTTGATTTGTAGATGCATCACAGTGGAAAAACTGTTTTGACAGCATTCCCACAGTATTAGTGGCAATGCATGCTTTAGTAATCTACAAGGGACAATTCTCCAGAAAAGCAATTTCCCTCAGACATGCTGTTCTTTATTACTTTCTTCTACAAGCACAGTACTGACCTCTCCGGAGAAAATAGCAACTGATTTTTAGCAGCTTCTGTTATACAGTCTGCAGAGCCTCAGCTACAAGTTGAACACTGGTTGTAGGCTGACACCTGCTTTTCAAACAGAGGGCAGGACAAGGAATCTGAACTCAGGGGGAAGCCACACACCAAAGATTAAAAAGAAAGAGAAAAGGACAAATAAAGACCATGGTACCACTATCCTGTGGTTTGGATCTAGAAAGAATTACAAAGAGTATGAATGAGGAAATTTTACACTGTGCATTATTATAAATAGTTCAGTTTTTTATTTTCTGGTTCTTACTGTGCTTGTGATTTTCATTAAAAAGTGAAAGTATAATTCTGAGCGACCCTGAGCTCATCTTGTACTGTGTTAGTGTGCCATATAGGCAGTTCTGACATCTGAAACCCTAAAGCCTTCTGGGGAATGCATTTTCTGTTGGAGTAACATACAGTGGGTTTACTCAGAGGCCCAAAAAATTTATTCAGACATCAACAGCCTGCTGAAATAACTTGGAAATTACTTCAGTATGAATTAAATAAAAAAGGATGTCTTCAGCAAGAAGGAAAAAATTTGCTTGTCCACTGAATTTTTGCTAAAAATCAAGTGCAGAGCATTACTCATCTTTCATCATAGTCAGGAAAAGAAAAGAACACAGAAATTATGTTGTATTCATTATTTCTTCTCATGCATTCAGGAGTGGTCTTGAATCTGACTGTACTGGGTAATTCACAGAAGACAGTCTCTCTGTAGACCTTCCTTAATCTTGAAAGAAAAACATTTTAAAAATTACTGTACTCTTCACTGAACATCTTCTCTGGATATCTGTTGCAGAATTAGTGCCTTATCACTGAGCAATCCCTTATTTCTTTTGGAAACTGGAACAGCTTAGAGAAGACATAAACATGATGACCATTAGCATAAGTTTGTTTGGAAAGTAGGGTGAAAATAATATATAGATTTGGTATTTTTCTGACATCACTTGTTAACAGAAAAGTCATTCATACATACGAGCCCAAGATGCCAGTGTCAGAGATGCCGAATGCAGTGTTTTGACTCAGGATATTCTTTCACTAGAATGTGCCTGATGGTGATGATGTTCCTGCCTACCTGGAACAAACAGCTTGAATCTGGTGTGTTTCCTGTTCCTCCTAGGTAGACACGACACCCGCCCAGTTCCTTGATTCCAGTGTTTATTTGTGGGATGTTCACCAGTCAAAGAAGCTCATTAAAGTGGATGGAGTTTACGCCTCGAAGCGCAAGCGTCACTGTGTTGACTTTGCTGCTATCAGGCTCCAGATCTCTCTTCTGCAAGAAATGCATGTCACACACTTCCATTTTTCACTGAAATGGTCTTTAATCCTTCCTTTAGGTAACCTTTCTCTAATCAACCACACACTTGTACATTACTATCAGTGTTTTGCTAGTGAACTTCTCAGGGTTAACATAACTCCTGTTGTTGCTTTATGGCAACCTATGATTGAGAATCAAGAGCTTCCAGTTTCTCTTGCCAAATATGGAGCTTGGGAAAACACAGAAATTGTTCAAGCTTTTGTTGAGTATGCCAGATTCTGCTTTACAAGTCTTGGGGACCATGTCAAATTTTGGATCACCATGAATGAACCGTCTGTGAAAAACCTGACATACACAGCAGGGCACAACCTGTTGAAAGCCCATGCAAAAGTCTGGCATCTTTATGACAAAGAATTCAGGAGATCTCAGAAGGGCAAAATATCTATAGCTTTGCAAGCTGACTGGGTAGAACCAGCTTGTCCCTTTTCCAGGAATGACCAAGAAGTTGCTGACAGAATTTTAGAGTTTGACATTGGCTGGCTTGCAGAGCCCATCTTTGGGAATGGAGACTACCCAGAGGTGATGAGAGCATGGCTTCACCGAATAAACAGTGTTGACCTGTATAATTTCCACTTGCCTTACTTCTCAGAAGATGAGAAAAAGTTAATACAGGGCTCATTTGATTTTTTTGCCTTGAGTCACTACACTACTACCCTTGTGGGTTCGGAGAAAGAAGATGCAGTAAAATATGACCACTACCTTGAAGTTCAAATGATCAATGACATCACATGGCTTCACTCTCCCAGCAGAGCTGCAGTAGTGCCCTGGGGACTGCGTAAATTACTCAAGTGGGTGAAATCAAAGTATGGCGATGTCCCAATTTATGTTATGGCTAATGGGATTGACGATGACCAGAATATGGTGCATGATAAGCTCAGAGTGTATTACATAAAGAATTACATCAATGAGGCTTTAAAAGGTAAGGAATCACAGATGCTTTATATGTCACAAATGCCAATATCAGTATACACTGTGTGATAAAGTATGCTTAACTTTAAAATACATGTCCTCTGTAGAATACTCCATAAATGGAGTATTATGCATAAGTATACCTCTTACACTTACTACAGTGTAAGAGGTAATTTTTCCCTTGATGTATGATTGATTGGTATTACTAAACCTAAGATCTTGCTTATATTCTGCATAAGACAGCAGAAGATGATTTTTATGGATTCAACAAATTTAAATAGAAGCTGTGTGAGTAGCTCCATATGCATTTAGTCAGATTTTTTGTCTTATTGCACTTCTACTGTTGTTTTCCTTTGTTGCTTTGCTCCACTGATGTGCCTTGGGGCTGGGTATGAGTTCTGTTCCTCAGTTGTCTCTGTATCTTATCCAACAGTGATCTTATCCAACAGTGATCTTCATAATAATTCAGCTGTCTACCTCATTATGCCATTTCCTGGACTGTTTCCTGCTATTCAGAACACATACCAGTCCTTTTCTCTGTCTCAAAGATTCATAAATTATAAGGCAAAAAGAACTTTGAGTCATCCTGTCATACAGCACATGCTGTTTTTTCAGAAAAGCACAAGACCCAAATGACATAATTTTTACTGATGAAGAATCTTTGGCACCTCACAGTGTGTGTATATATATATATATATATATATATATATAAATCTCATTTCTACTATTAGTTGCTTTAGCTTCAGCTTTATGCAAATTTGTTGTGCATTTCCACATGTATTTTACCTATGTAGGAATTTGCAGACACAAGACAAGCTATCTCTCATTTATCTCTGATAGATAATACAGACAAAGCTCTTTGTGTCCCTTGCTATAAAGCATCATTTCAAAGCTCTGAGTTATTAGGTTTTCCCTGTATACTGATACTCCTCATGAGAGGGGTAAACCCACACCTGGACACATTGTTCCTGTCACAGCCACATTTAGGCAGGTATAACATAACCTCTTACCCTCCTCATTGCTTCATTCAAGCAGGTTGTTGGCCTTCTTGGCCATGGCAGCAAGTTGGTTACACAGATTCTGTGGTGATTTACTGATATTTTGAGCTCAGTTACAGATTCCTTTCCCCCATTCCAAGCAGGACTGTCTCTTCAAAAGTAGGTCTGCTTGTTCTTTGACATCTTCACATTTGGTCATGTGTAAATGCCTACTGCTTGTTTGTGCAAACCTTGCTACACTAGCTAAGTTATATCTCTAATCTTTGTGACTTGCAGACTGTGAGAGAAAGTTTTAAATTTATTTCAGGTTGCTGATATATTTAAGATCATTAAATAACTTAGTGCTAAAAGCGAACGTCCGTGATCATGGTAGAAATATGCACACTATGACACCTTCAATTACATTTACTTTCAATTACATTACAGACTTACTTCTAGTTCTATTACTTCTTAATTCTACTTGAGACTAGTTGAAATCTGTTTATTATGGGCTTCCCTTGACCTCATAACATTTTATTTTATTGTTCCAAATGCCATATAATATTAAGTCATTTGCCTTTGAAGCTCTAACTATTTAACATCAAACGTCATTACTTTTATTGATCTTCTGGTCTCAGAAAAAAAGATGTCCAAGTTATCTGAAAAACTTATTTTTCATAAAGCCAAGCTGATTGGCATTAATTGTGTATTATCTCCTACATTTTATATTTATCAAGCTTTATATAATCTGTTCCACTTTTTTGATAGGTAGTGAAGAATGGCTGGAAATTCCTGTCCACTTTATTAACGATTGGCTTTAATTTCCTCTTCTGTAATTTCCACGTCTTTTGCAGATTACAGAACATCAATATAAAGTGCCCAAGAGTTCATTCTCCAGCATTTTGTAGCACTGGATGCATGCTTTATAAATCTATAGTTTAAAAAATAATTTGGCTATATTTGGGCTTGTGGTTTCAAGCTGCTTTTTTTCTGTATTGCTTGTCTCCTTGGCACTTCTGTTTTCAAAGTGTTTGTGGATATAGACTTTTCTCCCAGTTCCTGTTAGCAAGAACACCTACATGCCTCTGTTTTTTACAGAACTTTGCCCTTTGTACTGTTCTGGTACTACTGTCACCCAGTCACTTCTTTCGTCTTCTTCTGGCCAGCCTGTAAATAGCTCCTGTGTTTTCCAGCTTAACCTATTTTCTTATCTTTTCACCTTTTTTGTGATGGATAAATATGTTTCTGCTAACTAGCAGTAATACTTTTCCTAAAGCTTTATCTCCCACTTTAGACACCATACGCTCCTCCATAGTGTTTGGTCCATCAGCTTTCCATTTTTTATTTCTCCCTCTCTGATATTGCATTTTTGTGCATTTTGTTACATGACCTTGGCATCATGACTAATTCAGGTTTCTCCAAAACATGCATTTCTTTTTTGCATGACCTTGTGCAGTAACTAAGATGAATTAGAAATCTTGTGTCCTTACCTCAGTGTCACAGTGTAGAGGGGTATTGGTATGTGTATGCCCTGGCCTTAAAGTCCCTATTCTGCCTTCTTCCTCCAGCTGATTTCAGGCACTACATGTGGGAGTTTTTGTGCATGTAATATTGCTCACCTGCATTGTTCCAGGGGAGCCAGCAGGTTTGTGCAGATAGATGATTCCAGGATACAGTACAGGACCCTTTGGACTGAGGCTATATTTTGAAGTCCTTTGTACTCTTTTTAAGATTACATCTTTGCCAATTGGAAACAAAGAATAGGAGTAACCATTTATGTAACACCATTAAATCCACCTGCAGTTCTGCAAACACAACTAATTATTCTGAGCAGCAGCTCTGTAAAAGGCAGGTAAATATTATTTCATTTTGCATGTGAAAAGTGGGTTAGAAGTGCTGAAGTCTTGCATGTGGCTTGAGAAAGAATTGTTTCCAGAAGCATATGAAAATTCCCTTCTGTGTTCATCTGCTTTAATTTGTTAAAACAGTGATTAACTATTAGAGTTTGTGTTTACTACTTTGGATTGATTTTTTTTTTTTTTTGTCAAGTAGGATGGATGGCTCAAGGTTAACACTGCAGCTGCTGGGCCTCTTCCAGTAGCTGAGTTAGCAGTATGGACTGTGGACATGTTCTCAATAAAGGCTAACACAGGTCATCCTGGATCAGAAACCTGGGTTAATAACAGGAGAGGGCATAAACTTTTGCATAAACTTTCCCCTTGCACCACTGATATCCCAGTACACAACCTCAGCATGGCTGTGTGATTTTTCTGGTGTCACTGTGCCTTTGCTAGTGAGAAGTGCAGCCCGACATCCTCTGTTTCTTGACTGTCCCCATCATGATGTGCCCCGCAAGGGAGAAGGAGCAATCAGAGGAACAGGCTGCAGAAAAACAGGGGCAGGAAACCTAAAACCTGTATTCTTTCACACATAATGAAAAGAGCCATCTTTTCATGATAGGTTCCATGCTGATCATTAAACACAGTCAGGCACTCCAGCTGTGTTTACCAAGCACAAGGAAATAAATTGCAGGATACTCACAGATCACACTATCTGGCAGTGGCTGACAGATTTGTACTTTTTATGAGAAACACTTCACAGATGGACGTGTAGCTTACCTAATAATGGAGAGAAGTGCAGATGTAGGTTTAACATTCCCCTGCCCCTCCTTTACATATGGACATATGGTACTGCTCTTGAATGCAAAGTGACATTGATTTGTTTCTTCAAACCTTTGTTTTCTTTTGCAGCTTACACCTTGGATGACATTAACCTTCAAGGATATTTTGTCTATTCTTTTAATGACAAGACTGCTCCTAAGTATGGTCTCTACAGCTACATTGCAAATCAGTATGAACCAAAGCCTTCTCTGAAGCAGTACAGAGAAATAATTGGAAATAATGGTTTTCCTGGTCCAGAAACTCCTGAGTTGCTGTGTCCGGAAGAGGTTGCCTCTTGTCCCGAATGCCACTTCTTCCGAACGAGAAAATCGTTATTAGCCTTTATCTCTTTTGTATTTGTTGCTTTTATTGTTACTATATTCTTCATTACTTACTACTCCAAGAGGGTAGAAAGAAGGTATAAATAGAGCTTCTCCTTTGAATACATCACTTGCTGTCCTTTTTCTTGCATCCCCTTGGGAAATCTGAAATAAAAATGCACAATGCTGTGATTGTTTCAGCATTAGGAAGGCATTTACATTGCTTGATACTGCAGGATGTTGACACCGAGAAGCTATTGCTTGCATAGGGCTTCCAGAAATAATTTTCCCTGTTACAGTACCTTTGGTTTATAACCAGTCCTTGATTCCTGTGGTTGGAGTTGTCTCACAAGTTTCCATGGAACCTTTTGTTAAGCAGATGCTTTCCCCTTCTTGGATTTCCCTTGCTGAGCTATACAGGTGAAAGTAGGTTTTGAAAACATGGTGTGATGCAAGAGCCTAAATGTCAGCTTCTCCAACTGAGGTGAAACAAGAATTTACTTTTCCAAATTAGGGTTTAACACTGGTGTTTCTTAACCAGAGCTAGAACCTAACTGGAGCAGGGATCATGACTGAGAAGAAAGATGGAGGACAACCACAAAAAGCAGTGCCAGGGGAAAGAATAATCCCCTTCCTAAAGCAGATGCTGGAGGAAGAACAGGGGGAAATGAGTCTGTACTGCTGTGAGCTCTTGGTAAATCAGTAACTGGTATTGTGGCTACATCTGAGTTCAGGATGCCATTGGGGAACTTCAGTTAAAGGAACTGTGTCTTTCTTAGCGGGTAAGAAGCAGGAATATATCCAGGGATTGCAGGGGTCATACTGGGTCATCTACTGGGAAGAGATGGGAAGGGTGAAAGGGCTTCTCTTTGTTGCACTCAGAAAAAAAAGGCAAAGAACAGGAACTGGGATGTCTTCACTGTTGGCAGAAAGCTGTGTGCCTGACCTCATGCCTCTTTCCCTGTACCCAGGGACATGGCACAGCTGGGACACCCCATTTCTGCACTTCTCACAGCCAGTTGAAGTCAGATGCCACTGCTGCTGCCCGGCCACTTATCTGCTGAAAACTTGTGGTAACTTAGCAGGGATGGTCTCTGCATGCTATTTATGTTGAGTGCAGAGACTTCAAAAGCCAGCATTTTGGTGTAATAGTGCAGCACTTTATTGCTGCCAGGGTCTGAGACTGTGGAACTGTTGGGCCAAACTTCTCACAGGTTGGCTGGAGATTCTCCTTTGAGTAAGTAGACCTGGCAGCATTTCATCCCAAAGTATTACTGCATGTCTGAGGGCCTCCTGTTTTTCTCTCAACAAGATAAAATAGCAGAATGTTAGCACTGTTGTTTATAAGTAGAAATAGAGAGAGAATGGGGAAAAAAAAACCTATGTAATTTTGCCTGCCTTGTGAATTGCTGCATTCAGAGGGTCCTCATTGTAAAGCAGTATGGTCATTTTTCTCTGCTTGCTAACTCAGACTGCATTGCCTTCAGCTGTAATTGTATTTTTATTGTTATGTGAACAATGTCACTTGCTGGAAAGAACATTTTAAAAGAAATATGCTCTGTGTTAATCAAGAATTATTTATCTACTAAAGTTGATTATGCTGTATAAAATGTAATGTTTATCTACTATATTACTAGAAGATGACTAAATAACCTCCCAGGGTTCTTTTCAACCTGAATACTCTGATTCTATACTGTATATTAAAACTTACATATGAAATATTATTTTAATTTGTAATTTCAGATTATATTTTTCCTTAAATAATATATAGAAAAAAATTAGTGTCTTCTCATAGTGATTGATACATTTTTCCTCTGGTTACTATCTTTAAGTGGTTTCTCTTTGCAGTTATGTATATTTTGGTATTGAGATTAAGATGCACGTTTCAGGGTAAGTGATGAAGTATTAAAAATATGTGTAAAAATTATTTATAGACTGATAGGACTTGCTGTAGAAGAGAACATTTCAAACTGCTGTATATTATGCCTTGGTGCCTGGTGCACTGAGGATTATGAAGAAATAGCTCTCCCTGAGTGTATGAAATGTGGAATGTCTTTTCCCTGGCACAGCAGTGAATCACCATGCAGTACGCTATGCCAGCTGCCAGATGCCTTTGCAGCACGTAACAAAAAGTGACATTCATTTAGCACAAGCTGCACCCAGGTCATGCCCAGCTTGTGTGTTTTGTATGCGTTGTGTGCGTGGTGTGTATTTTGCTGTTGGTCAAACATCGGGCCTGATGTTTCTGAGAGCCAGGTGTACCTGGTTTGTACCTGCCCCCCTGGGTTTGAGGGGGGCTCAGGGGGAAATCCGGTAGAGCACAGGTGGCTTGGGCACAGTGCTGATGGACGCTGGCCTGACCTGGTGCTTCGCGAGCAGTTCCCATCCATCCAGCTGCTGCTGGGAGCTGTGGAATGGCCCAGGCACAGCACAGTGTGTGAAACAGCAGTCCCAGCACGGAGGAGGCGTGGCAGGCTCTTCCTATAGAGGCTGGGTGATATGTAACCACTGACAGGCAGATGGCACCAGCTGGATAGCTAATTTGTAGGTAAACTGGGATTTGTTGCTGTGTGATCATATCCACTCATGGAGCCATGATCCATGGAGCTAACACAGCCTTTGGCATAGTTGCCTTCAGAAGAGGTTTTAAATATCACTGCAGAGCAACAGCTGGCTTGGTTGCCAAATCCTTCTCCCAAGCATCCTGCCTGTGGTACTGCCTGGGCCTGTGAATTGCACAGTGATGGGCTGTTCTGATGGAGAAAATGGTATGGTTTTGCCTCTGAAATCTGCTTTATTTTATTTAATCAGGGACAGTGCAAGATTCCTGTCAATTGTTTTGAAAAAAATCACTCTTCAGTAACAACAAAGAAACCCTTAAACAGGCAAAGATTGGGTACCTGTCCAAGGTATGCTTATGCAAACTGATGTGGCAATCATCTCCTTTGATCCTGCTGTGGGGCACTTGCTGCCTTCGATGCCCACATGAGAGCTGAGAGCAGTGATCTGATGCTCCCAACCCCATCTGTGCATCCTGAGCAGAAATGCAGGCAGCAGCAACAAGGACTTGGAGCAGTGGGGGCTCCCTGCTCAGGCTGCAAAGACAGCTTGGTGGTGGCTGGTGGTTTGTTTTCTGAAGAGCAGCAAGGCTCGGCATGTTCAACTTGCAGTTTTTTAAGTAGACTGCTTTCTTGATTTTTAGCTGTGTTTATAGAATGAAATGTTGTTGCCAGTTTACTCAATGTTCCAGATTAAACATTATATCTGTTCAAAATATTTTTATGACATGTGTGCAAAGCTTCTGGTTTATTTCTTGAAAAGATTGTGCAGAGTGACTGTGGGAGAGATGTCTTTGCTAAATGACAGGATTAATGTTATATTGTTTTTATAACAATCGCAGAAGTGAAATAAAGATACTGAATGTAACAAATTGTAACATGATCTTACTGTTTAATCTGTCCAGTTTATTCGCCTGCAGCATGAAGTACAGAGCATCTCAGGAGAGGCTATTGTGATAACTCAGCAAGGAGTTTGTGTTGTTTGTTTTTCCAATGACATAGAAGTAACTCTAACTTTCATTGGAGATTTCTAGGGCCTGTGGCTAAACAGATGTTTTTCCAACAGACCTAGGAGTTTGGAGGGTTTTTGTTATTTGAAGTGTTTTATTATTTTTTTAAGTGATTGTTGCTATTTAGAATATCTGTGGAAGTAACTATACCAGTTTAAGAGTGCTTTGGTGCAATAGCTTATTCCATTGTAACACTGCAGTAAATCGGAAAACTCTTCTATTCCAGTAGAGTTACTCTCAGGTTCAGGGATTCTGTCAGCATAGCTCAGCACTAAGCAGTCTGTTTGTGGCATCGTTGTTAAACATCCTAAGGAAAGAAAATGTCACGATTAAGGTTAGTGGGAGCAGAATGGGACAAACCCAATGAACAGAAGAGGGACCATACAAGCCTCAGCATGTCTAAACACACAACTTGTCCTTTCCTCCTGCCATTGTATGTGTTGCTTTCAAGTCACTTAGAAAACTCGATCTGTTCATTCTGCTTCCAGAGATCGCTGAGGTGAAAATTCCCTTATTCAGGGTGAAGACGCCGATTCTAGGTGCTAGACTTTAGCTTTGGCAATGAAAGTTCAATCCTATTCCTTTTTCTATCAATCAAAGCCAAGAAAAAGAGGCATGGAAAAGAAAAGGAAAAGCTCTTCCTGTCTTTGATGTGCCACTCATGCATTGCCAAACCACCCTTCCTCAGCCCTCTCAAGGCTATGGCTGGTGCAAGCTTGTTAAGCCCACCCTTCTTGTTAAGCCTACCCTTTATAAGAGATTGGAAAAAAGGAATAATGAGGTGAGAAGAAAGTGTCAGGGCCCAATGTATCAGAGCCTTTTACTTTGCTTCATGAGTTCAACAGAAACATCACTGTCAAGCAGTTCTGAGAAAAATTAAAATTTTCAAGAAATCAGAAAGTTGAAATAACAGCCTGCAGCCAGGATGCTTCTGGGTGCTGACATTTCTCTGGCTATTATTTTGTGATGCTTTCTGTGTTTCTGAAGGAGTAGCAAAAGCACCAGTGAGGCAGAGAGAAGCCAGGGAAAATACTAATGAAGCAGGGCAGAAAAGCCACAGGCACAAGCAGATGTGCAAGTTCCTCATCCTGGGAGCTAAATGAGCAGTCCTCTGCTGTGGGCATGGGCCATAGGACTCGGAATATTCTTTGTTAAAAAATGGGTTTTTTTCCATATTTCTCATATTTCTCCCTCAGTGATATACCTCCTTCAATGATACACCTCCTCCATGAGGAATTTAACTGTCAAAAGCCTTTTTTTGTCACAAGAATTACTCACAACATGGTGCAGCCTCATTCTCTGATCCCAGCTCTCCTGAGGTCATCCAAGTCTAGCCCAAGTCCCAGGAGACCCATGGGAGTCTGAGGTGTAGGAGGGGTGGTCAGTCACAGCACTGAGTAAAGCAGTGGGAATTACCGCAGTGATGTTTTCTAAATGCTGCAAGTTCACAGTGAGTGGGATTGGTTTCTGGATTAGTTCTTTTTTGATAGTGGAAAGAGTTCCTTACTGAGAGTAACACACAAAACATAAGGTGTTTAGGGGTTTTTTGTTTGTTTGCTTTTATGTTTGTCTGTTTCTTTATGGGAAAGGGTGAGTTTTAACATTTCCCCTGTAATCTGGGATGTATGATGGAGTTCTCCCTGATATTTTTTATGGCATGGGAGGAGAGCACCTTGGTAGTGACTTCTCAGTCACTGTTTGGTTCTCAGGAGCTTCCAAGCCAGAGCTTCCCTTGGGGCTGTACCTCATGAGGTGCATTTCCAAGATGAACCAATACCTCCCAAGTGGGACATGTGCTGGGGCCTGGAGCAAGAGCAGGACCAAGGGCATATTCTGGTGAGATCCTGGCTGGAATGGTGGTTTGGCTCTGGGCATTGAGCTGGCCAGTGTGTTGCTGCCTTCTGCATTCAGGGCTCTGTAAAAGGCCTTCAGCAGCTCTGTAAACCAGCAGGGCTGCACAAACACAACACCTGACCCGAGGAATCTGGTTTTCCTCCAGCCAGAGGAAACTGTGAATTGGCTGAGTGTTCAGTTCAAGAGGTGTAATGGTATAAACTACCTGAACTGTAAAGTTTTACGAGGTGACAAAGTTTTGTAGTCTGGCAATAGTGCAGTTGAGTTGGAGGCTGTCAGGTGCCCTGCCAGGAAAGAGAGGGGAGGAAGAAGGTGAGGAGGGCTTCCCAGCAGGCTGCAGCCTCTCTGGGCAGCCTGGAGGATGCCTTGAGGGGTGCAAGGCTGCTGCTCCTCCAGTCTGGGACATGCATGGCCCAGGCACTTAGTGCTGTGTGAAGAATGGAGCAGAACAAACTCCAGCTCTCTCATCACCCCTTCTCTCTTTGGGCACATATTTATATACACTTGGGCTATGAAATGGGGAGCTAAATACCGAGGTATGACAGAGGTATATCAAGGTGTATTGCTTACTTAGAAGGCAAAACGACGTTTACAGGCCTTACAGGTTTTTTGTCGATAGTTTTCACTTTGCAGCAACCCTTCTGCCTCCCCCTGTCCACTAGGATTAGATGGGTCTTATTTCCAAAAGCTAGAAA